AGTGCACTTCAAATTTGGGCGAGCTGCTTGCCGAAATTTCTGAAATGTCAAATTTTTAGGTTATTCATCATGATTCTCATTAAATTCTGACGTTTTTACTTAACGTTTTTGTTCTGCAATGTAAATGATAAAATATCAGATGTCAAATCTAACTTGAAGTTGGAAGTGAATGTAAATACTCCTTTAGTATTATCCGAAGTTCTAAGAAGTTAGCTTTTCCTTCCATTTGTCGCCTCTCAGGACAAAAATAGAGATCACTTTTGCTTTACATACACTTATTTTTCTAGGAAAATATTAAATTTTGATATGAATCACACCTTTTAACTATAATTTTTAAAATAACACATCAGTGAGTTCAGAAGTAATACGTGAAGTATAAGTTTGCTTTTTGTCGAATTACATAGATAAATCTTCCTTTTTTAAGTTACGGTACCTACTATCAGCACAAGATAAAACTGAGGGTGAAATTAATTAAATCCAGGAATAGTCAAAATTCTTGAGATGTTTTGGTTAAAACTTTTTTTAAATGAATTTATGACCTATCCGGATTTCTATTTTGAAAATTACACCTCTCTTTTCAGCACCCTCCTTCTCGAGAAGAAAATGAGAGAGTCAAACAATAAATAGCTATACAGACCTCTGCCTGGATTCAGTAAAATGTTGATAGGGATGGTCAAACAAATTTGGTTTGCACTGACTCTATTTAGAGAAAATGGTCCAATAATCCCACACTGACAATTGATTCTGAAAACTGTAACATTTGAAATGTCACAAGAACATTTTTAATTGTTCTTAATTAATTTCTTATATTTGAACTCATTTAAAAATTCTATTTCGTACACCTGGCGACATCTATGATTCCTTTGACTAGTTTCCTGACCTAATACCGAAAATTATGTTATCGAAAGGTGGTTTCGGTTTGCTCACTCCGTGCACTTCGAGTGACTTCATTCGCTCTCCAGCTGTTCGGGTACTGCTTTTTACCATATTAGGGTTACTTTTATTCACTCCACTCCAACTCCGAACCTAACTAGGGTTATTTTTTTGAAAACCCGTAGCACTGTCAATTTTATAATTTCGACAGACAGGACAAAAGGAGAAAGACACAACCACGGTTTGATACTTTTGACTTTCTTTTCCATTTTGATAGTGAGACTGAAAAAGTCGTCTGAGGAGAAATCCAATAATTTTGCCTTTAATTCTTGGCCATCGAGCCCAAAATTATGTAACTTTAAGTAACCAGAGGAGTGAGTAGTTGTGCCAGCTGGAACGTTTCCTGAAGAATCGACCCATTGTTGATTTTTGTGTAAATTTCTGAAAGTGAGGTTATTATCGGCCGTTGAGGCAATTTGGGAGAGTCTCAAAAATCCACGCCTACACTTCCGGGTGAAAATTTGACGAATTTGAGACCATGCGGTACTGCATTTCCGAAGAAAGTCTGGGCCCCTCCTATAAGGAAAGTTGTGTCCTGTAAGAGATTGATCCCCGACCATTGTTTGAGTGCCTCCAGCCAATTTGGTACTTCCAGATCTCAAATTTGTGAAAATTCCCAAGGATTCCGTCCAGGCTTGTATAAATACTTACCTAGGGGTCCCGTAACTGTGCCTTAATATTTACCGTTACCGATTATTAGTATCTTTTTACTGTTCCTTATCGATTACCTTTATTAGCTAATTATTATCTTCATAATATTGATTACTGTTAATTATTATTATCTATTCCTTATCGCTTACTATCGATTAGCTTAATTAGCTAATTCATAACTGTATAGAATCTATTACCGACTCGTTTACCGTATTGTAGTATTTAGCTAGAATAGCTAACTACAAATTAAATATAATTATCTATTCAATTAATTAATCATTATCATATTTGAATTTTTACTTTTATTATTGTTTTCTCAATAATCATTTATTTTCAATAAGTATGCATTATTACAACTATTATAAATTTTGTTTCCTCTATATCGAGTATTGATCGATATAATATGGGTGGGTTCATTAATCTTTAAAAGGTTGATTAAACTTCTGATTTCAAATCAATAATGTGGTAGTTATACCAGGGTTACTAATGTAAAATCTTTAGGTAGTCAAATTTAAGTTTTATGGTTACCTATTTGAACTTTAAAGGTAAGAAGGTAAGAGCTCTTCCGGAAACCGTGAATTTTTTATTTCATGTAGCAGGTTTTTGATATTTATAACTGCCTAAGGATTATTTATTACTTTTCTGCATGGAATAAGTTGTTTTCCATTGATTTGATTGACTTTGAGTCAGAAATTAAAGGTTGGTGATATTGTGACTTCATCATTTATATTTAGGTAGATTTCTCCATAGGTATCTATTGATTATTTTTAAATTTCAATTCTATTGTACTTATTCAAATTGAGTTCTGTTTTTGAAAAGCTTAATAATTTTTTATTCAAAAGAAAACTTGGATACTAGACAATAATTTTTTAAACCATATAAAAAAAATTCGCTATCTTGTCACAAATGTTTAATGACATAATTCAAGAACAAAGTTCGCCATCTGGTCACAATTTTTTTTATGACAATTAACTTTAATAAATAATTGTGTTTAGAATTCCAAAGCTTGTGTTTTTATTGAATGAGTTAAATGTCAGGTAGCTATTGAATTTTAGATTTCTTTTACCTTTTCAGATTTTTTTTGAATTTATCTTTTTAAACAATAACTAATTAATGGAATAGTGCCTAGTTTGGCTATTCCTTGGTCATCAAAATAATTTAAACAAACTAGTGGCGCCCTCTCTCTACTGTACCAACTCCAAGGACCACCCCATGCTAACAACCGCTGAGCAATAGTCGAGCACAATTTTGAACATTCTTTTATCTCAACAAAAGAGCGTTACAAAACCAGAGCAGCAGTACCTATTTATTAGCCAAAACTCTGAATTGACTCACCTTAGAAAAAACGTGGGACCACCAATCACAAAATGGAGGCACACAAATAGATAAAAAAAATGAAAATATAATATAATAAAATATAATATTTATTTTTCAAAGGTAAAAACTCAACAGTGATATGATAGTATGCACTGATGGTAAAATAAATTGAAAAATATTAAGGGAAAATCTAGAAATCTGAAGAAAAAAAAATACAAAAATGAAATCGACTTGCCTGTCTAGTGGTTTCGCCAGAAAAGAGACAGTTTTAGAACCTAAACCCTGCAGGAAACCAATCTTGTGTTTTTTTCTACTTAACTGCGTAGTAACCATCGACCAGTCAGAAGACAACACTCAACACACACAAAAGACCGTGTTCACTTCATAATTGAAATACCACGCTGATTGAAAGGAAATAGATGAAAACATACTAGAATTATTTTAATTGTTTACAAATTACAGTAATTTAAACTAAGGTTATGTTGAAAACACAAAACATCATATTTAAAAAAATAAATTTATCAGGTACTAGATGGCGGTACCTTCTTTTAATAACAGATATTTGCATTTTTATGCTCATTATGAATAGATGACAGTACCGATATTATATTGAATTAATTAAATTTTGTAGATACTTTTAAATTACTTAAGTTATGAATTATTATTTTGCTGATTTTGAAATGGCAAAAATACTACTTTATAATGAAAATTAGAACAAATGGAACATGTTACGAAAATGATAAATTTATCGTAACAAGGGTCACCACCACCTGCAGAGAAGTATCCTCCGCTATCAATCTATTGATTGAGATTTTAGTTTAGTTTGAACAGTTTTGTACCTGAGAAGCTTCAAAATTGAATTTATCGGACATTAAAAAGTTTCCAAAAATGACACTGTGACAGTTTTTGCCTCACAGCTCCGTTAATTTCCATCTAATTTCAGTCACCCTGTACAAAACCCATAATCACTTCTGAGCAGTTATATGCAATATGTCAATAATTTTAATTTGATGCTACTTCCAGTTTGTGTCAGTGAAGTTATACAGACAAAAAAAAAATGTCCACACCAAAGTCCATTGTACTTTCACCAAAAAAAAAGTAAAGGTTCTTTAATTTGAGGGGGCCGGATAGATGGATTCGAGGATCTTGTCAAGTTTTTTTTTTTTGCTCGACCGAACACTTTTACGACTCAATAGGGTGCTCACAGGAACACGATCGAAAGTAAACTTTCTGTCGCTGACCGTGCAAGAATAATGAGTCTACGTCCTTAAATAAAATAAATAAGGGACAAATTTCTATCTGAGCTGATTGGATACTTTACCAAAATGATACTCAATTATTCGAAAGTTAAACTTTAATACTACGTAATTAATTTAATGATGTTTTGAATTCATTTAGATGATATAATTAACTGTTTCAATTAAATAATTTATAGAGTTATGCCCGGTATAGTGGATAGTAATAAATTTATAAAACAGTAACTCGAAGCAAGATAGCGTTAATTAAAACGCTGCGCTTTGAAACTGCGAGAGAGATTTTATAATGATTATTTGATCCAAAAAAAAAAAAAAAAATTGATCCACTGCATAACTAGACAATGGTAAATGTTAATAGCATACAAATTTAATAACCGCAATAATACGATCAATAAACATTTTCCATGTTTATAATGGAACTATAAATTTTCTGATTTATTTGGTGATGTGTTTGATTTATTAAATCCTGTCGTTATCGAATAGGTGCGTTTTGGTTTATGTAGCATTATTCAATAACTGCGATAAATTAATCATTAAATAAAATAATTATATTGTCTAGAAAATGTTGCAAACTCTTGCTAAAAATTCATTGAATTTAAATTGATTTTCAAACGAGATTTTGGGTTTATAATATAATATGTATAGAATTTTTGGCTAGATTTAAAAAAAGATAACTTACATTGTAAAACCTTTTATTGCTGCGCCAAAAACTTTTTCATTTATGCTACTTTTACGAACTACATTTAACTTTTTACAACGCCGCCTTTAACTTTATAAATCAACCAGAGAGTAGTTTTAAAAATTCTCTTGCTTTACGATTTTAATTTCATTAAATTGTTTCAGGTTTACCTTGTGGGTCACATTCCTCCAGGCTCAGACGAAAGACACAAAGGCCTGACAGCTCCCAGTCACATAATGTATAAAGACTATCACAACAAGAGATACATCAAACTAATAAGAAAATATCACGCAATAATCGTAGGACAATTTTATGGTCATCTTCATTCGGATACATTTAGAGTGCTGTATTCGGAAAATAATGGTAAGTTTTATTTATTATTGTAAGCTGCTATAGCTCTTTCCAATCCTTATTGAAGATTTGCTTTGGCAGGGCGAAGGGTCCGCGCTCTAGTTGGATTAGCAAAGTTTTGGGTTTTCTTATCTAAATAGCGTTCGGGCTTCTGATAGGAATGAAGTTCGAAATATGCTCTAGGGCTGGGTTTAACTCTGAACGGAAATGATAAAATCTTTTGTTTTACGTCTGAAAGAAAAAAAAAATATTAAACGACAAGCAATAAAAACTTAAAAGCACCCAATTTTAAATAAAACCATTTCGCTACGCCGAGCACGAATTGCCTGTGTCTAAAAGCATTTAAAATAATTATTCACTGGCGTAATAAATACGATTATCATCTTTTCTTCGAAATTTGAATAAAATGTTAAAGCAATGCGAGAGCTATCCTTGTTATGCTAACTAAAAACCCAGTCAAGTGCACAAATCTATACGAAAAATCTCAAGACCCACTTCCAATAAATATGTTAAACAACTTTTATCCGTAATTTCGTTTCCCATTTCATTATCTGGTGCCTGGGCCCGGAAATAAAAATGTATGAGGCAAAAATTGTCGCTTCCTTGGTCCCCGTGTTTATCGTTCCGCCGTATCGACCCGTAAATGTGCTTATCCAAAATTCGTTTTTCCTGTAATTACCTTGTAACATTATCTCAGGATTTTTTTGGGTTTATTGGATAACTGGGGTATCAAAAATTTATAATATAATTATTATCAACTTCTATAATACCTAACTTGCTCCATTATACTTAAGTGTATGACATAAGATTTTCCAAAAAAGAAATACAAATTCTTTTCCAATCAATTCATCAACTAATATTGTCTAATTGGAAGCCTCAATGTTCATATCAAAATAACCCACTGGATGAGGGCTGATGGGGCATGAAAAGAAACACCAGGCAACTACTGTCACACAAAGCTTATCGACCTGATGAGCGATAACATAGTGGAAATACAAACAGATCAAATGGTGGTAACCCATAAGTTTGTAAAATAAAAGTGGCCTGATCTAGTATACAGACGGCTTCAAAATAAGGGATGGAGCTGGGGCTAGCATACACGGAGAAAGATCAAGATCAGAACAAAGCATTCCCCTGGGGGTTGAAAGCCACAGTTCACCAGGCAGAAATTCATGAAATCCAAGTATGCGCACAGGAGATTCTAAGACTGGCTTATAACAACCAGCATTCTCTCAGACAGTGAGGCTGGTCTCGAAGCTTTCAACTCGCACCGATTTATTTCGAACAATGAAGATAACGATGGAATACCTACACTACCTGGAAGCTCTGTCATCAAGGAATGACAGGATTGAGATCTTGTGGGTGACTGGGCATTCGGGGATAGAAAGCAACGAAAAAGCTGACGAAACGGCCAGAGCGGACACAGCTGCACCCTACACAAGACCAGAACCCGCATTTGGGATATTGAAGCAGGTTATAAAAACGGCAGTTGAAAGGTGGTCGATCCATCAACACCTCGGCTTTAGGCTTTCCACACGTGGAGCAAGACACTCGAAGGGGATAATTGGTAACACCTTGAAGATGAGTAGAGTGTTTTCACAGCTATCAGATTAATACCCACCTCTACCACGTAAAAACGCCCCTCTAGCACAGCCATCATACTACTACCCACCTCCACTGTAAACCCCCTTCCGTGAACCTCCTACCCTGAGGAGGCACTTTTTGGTATTCCTCAATTTTGGGGTTGTCCCGGGTCAAACCCACAAAATTTCAGATCAAAGGCGCCGCCGCCGATCTAGAGATTTTCCCAAGGTTACGAAAAACTTCTGAGGCCCAAGTGCCCCTGGCTATCAGACCAATACCCACTTCTACTACACAAATGGTCCTCCAGATTCACAAATTTTGGGGTTGGCCCGAGTCAAATTCCCAAAACTTCAGATCAAAGGCGCCGCCGATCTAGAGATTTTCCTACGGTATCGAAAAATTTCCCACGCTCAAGTGTCCCCGGCTATCAGACCAATACCCATACCTCTACTAAATAAATGGTCCACCAGATTCACAAATTTTGGGGTTGGCCCGGGTCAAATTCCCAAAAGTTCAGATCAAATGCGCCGCCAATCTAGAGATTTTCCCACGGTATCGAAAAACTTCTCAGGCTCAAGTGCCCCCGGCTATCAGACCAATACCCACCTCTACTAAATAAATGGTCCACCAGAATCACAAATTTTGGGGTTGGCCCGGGTCAAATTCCCAAAATTTCAGATCAAAGGCGCCGCCGATATAGAGATTTTTCCACGGTATCGAAAAAGTTTCCACGGTAACGAAAAAGTTCCTACGCTCAAGTGCCTTCAGATATCAGACCAATACCCACCGCTATTACGTAAAAACCCCTCTCCAGCACAGCCATCATACCACTAACCACCTCCACTGTAAACCCCCTTCCGTGAAGTTCCTACCCTAAAGAATATTTAACCAATTCTTCCATTTGTATTCATCAATTTTGGGGTTGTCCGGGGTCAAATCTCCAAAATTTCAGATCAAAGGCGCCGCTGATCTAGAGATTTTCCCACGGTATCGAAAAACTTCACAGGCTCAAGTGCCCTCGGCTATCAGACCAATACCCACCTCTACTACATAAATGGTCCACCAGATTCACAAATTTTGGGGTTGGCCCGGGTCAAATGCCCAAAATTTCAGATCAAAGGCGCCGCCGATCTAGAGATTTTCCCACGGTATCGAAAAAGTTTCCACGCTCAAGTGCTTTCAGCTATTAGATCAATACCCACTTCACAGCTAACAAAGCAATACCCACCTCTACTACGTTAAAAAGCTTCTACTCTGAAGAGGTACCTCTTTCCATATCCCTTCACTTTCTTGAAAACTGAAGAATATTGAAACAACTCCTGCATTTTTATTCGTCAATAGTGTTCTAAACTCCATGGGATATAGAAGTTCTTGAAAGGATTCAAAATCAAAGTTATTTTGCAAAAATAGTAGTTGAGTAAAGTTATTGACAACCACCAATACTGAAAAAACTCAAAAATGAATTGTTGTTCCTCTATAAACAATGTTTGGTCCTCTATAGACAATAAATGGTGAAAAATTACTCTCAGATTTTATAAGCAAAGAACTATTGAGAAGTCTGTTGGATTCATTATTGAAACATGCAAAGTCCTTTGAACTTTTGGATGCATGGGGTAGATTACCAATAAGTTACAAAAATAATTTCCTACTTCAAATTAAGTTACCATGCTTTATTAATTAGAACAGAGATGAATGGAAAACACACTTTGGTGTCATTGGTTGGAAACAGTCAGAAACACTCAGAAAAGTAGTTTCAACCAATGAAATTCGCTCTGACTGATTTGTGATTTTTGCAGAAACAGACCTAATATTTTGCTTGTGAATCTGGTGGACCATCAAAGTATGTTTTCCATTCATCTCTGTTGTAATGAATAAAGCATGGTAGCTTAATTTGAAGAAGAAAATATTTTTTTCTATGAGTATTCAATAATATACCTAATATACATCCGTTTTCCATTGATCAATGTAAATGATTATTCATACAGTGAGTTTTTTTTTTTTTTTTTCATTACTTAATGGTTTTCAACCAATAAAAATAGCCTGGTCTCATTACTCCACTATTTAAGAGCCAATCAGAAAATTCGACAAGTTGACAACATTCACAACTTCAACCTTCCAATCGGTGATTTTGACAGCTGATTTGGACAAAACTAGTGCTAACCAAACCTCAATTTTTCCTCCAACTGTCAAAATAATCAACAATATTTGTTACGAAAATTAAATAAAAAACCGCATAACTCGTGCATATCATCTATTAATCATAGAAAAAGTATAGTATTCTACTCGTAGGTAATGGCTATTACTCACTCGGATGATTACAATACTCGCCTGCGGCTCGTAGTGCAAACTTCATCTTTCGTGAGTAATAGCCATCATTACCCGCTCGTTGAATAATATACTATTGTAACTTATTGGTAATTTACCCCATGCATCCAAAAGTTCAAAGGACTTTGCATGTTTCAATGATGAATCCAACAGAGTTCTCAATAGTTCTTCGCTTGCAAAATCTGAGAGTCATTTTTCACCAATCATATGAGCTAGAATATTGTCTATAGAGTAACCACAATTCATTTTTGAGTTTTTTCAATGTTGGCGGTGGTCAATAACTCTACTCAACTACTATTTTTGCAATATAACTTTGATAGGGTCCTTTAACAATAACGGTCTGCTTTTAATTTTAAATTTTTCAAGAGCTTCTACATCCCATGGAGTTTAGAACACTATTGAAGAATACAAATGCAGGAATTGTTTAAATATTCTTCAATTTTCAAAAACTGAAGGTATATGGAAAGCGGTACCTCTTCAGAGTAGAAGATTTGTAACGTAGTAGAGGTGGGTATTGCTTTGTTAGCTGTGAGGTGGGTATTGGTTTGATACCGTGGGAAAATCTCTAGATCGGCGGCGCTTTTGATCTGAAATTTTGGGAATTTGACCCGGCCCAACTCAAAAATTTGTGAATCTGGTAGACCATTTATGTAGTAGAGGTTGGTATTGGTCTGATAGTCGGGGGCACTTGAGCCTGAGAAGTTTTTCGATACCGTGAGAAAATCTTTAGATCAGCGGCGCCTTTGATCTGAAATTTTGGGGATTTGACCCGGGACAACCTAAAAATTGATAAATACAAATGGTTAAATATTCTTTAGTTTTCAAAAAGTGGAGGGATATAAAAAAGCGCCTCCTCAGGGTAGGTATGATGGCTGTGCTGGAGGGGGGTTTTTACGTGGTAGAGGTAGATATTGGTCTGATAGTTGTGAAAACACTCTATTAAGATGCTCTGTCACTAACTCGTAATCAGACAAAAAAAGGTGCTAGGACTATTAACAGGACACTGCCATCTTAAAGCGCACTTGCAGAAAATGAGAGTCTACATTGGCGCGACATGTAGAATGTGCGGTGAAGAGGAGAAAACTGCCTAACCATAATATACGACTGTGAAGCAATGGCTCGCAGAAGACACAATTTTTCGGGAAATTTGTCAACAAGCTGCTAGATCTCATCAAACGGACGGTTGACAGGTGATTAGTACTTTATGTATTAACATTGTGTCTTTTTTTTCTCCAAATCGATACGGTTTCAGGGTACCTATGGCCCATATAAGTTGAAAATATGGAAGAATTTGCTTCAAATTGGGTTTTTATTGTTTTTCTAATTGTTTGCGATCGACTGCCACATTCATCTCTTGGAACTTGCTTAAACAGGGAGTAGAACAATAAACCTTAAGACTGCAGTACCAATCAACACACCAACACACCTGACCTAGTCTTAAACCAACCAACCATGGTGTAATTAAGTTCCACTCTGTATATTGTAAAATCAACAATTATTGAATGGGTATTTGCTTTAGATTAAATTTTACATAAATCTTATTATTACTAACGCAACAATCACTGACGAGTAAATTAAATTTCTAGTTTCGGACAACCAGAATATGCTATTAATTAACGATTCTGATAATTATGATGCAGTATAATTATGCAGCTTGATTTCAATTATCGATGGATTAAAATTTGTTACAATACAACTTTCCATATTGTTGCTTTATTGTTTTGCAAAACTCATATCTTAATTTAGATAAACTGAATCAATTTAGGCCCGAAGTAACAAATTGAATCTTGATTCCGCGTACTTGGGGTATCACGTCTCCCAATAACGCGGTTTTGCGGTTGGTTTCCCCCAAATTGGTTCCTGACTGATACGGAGATAGATGTCGAGATATCTACCAAAGACATGAAGGTTAATTAATTTCAGCTGAAAATATACAATAATTGTTTATTATTGAATTAGCGTAGTGTAGTATTGAGTTTTTTATACCGCATCAAGATTCATGCCGCAACAACCAAACTGTATTAATTTCATGCAATATTCTCTCAAAATATTAATGTTCCATATGCAGGCAAAGCGATTTGTCAAAATGTTTCATTAGTTTCATCCTAGACTGTTGGATATTGAAAACTTTTTGAAGCTTTCGCATAAACTTTTTCCTTTTACACAAACTTTTCTGCCGGAGTAAAAGTTTTTTGACTAAAAAGTTGATTCCGAGAATTGTTTCGCATCTGCAATAATTTCGTCTCACGCCGTCTGGCTGAACAAGATTTGACTGCTGCACAGCCAAACCGCCCTTTTCTTCTCTTCACTTGTACTTCGCCCCTTTTCCGGTTCCAAAATACGGGTATTGCTTGCAAGTTTAGACGGTATTAATGCATACTTAACTAAAGCCGGCGACTTAACTTAGTTATACAACTATTCCGACCTACGCTTCAGTGATAAATTGAATTAGGATTGTGCATTTTCCGAGTAGCTTTAACGTTTCGCGGCTAAGAAGTGTTTCTTAGGGAACCATCTTAATTTTCTTTATTTTTTTTTTGTTTACCATACGACAAAAGAATATTTTTACATTCACAAATTAGTAGTATAGCTGAGAGGGTGCTGAGTCGTTTTTCTATATTATATAATCATTTTTTTTTTTCAGGTCGACCAATATCGTGGGCCATGCTCGCGCCATCAGTGACACCGAAAAGAACTCATGATGGGCCCAACAATCCTGGACTGCGGATATACAAATTTGATAAATATTCTGGACAGGTAGATGAAGTATTTTTATATTTTGTTTTCCAACTCTATGCAATTCTAAGATCATCAACATCATACCGAGTATGATTATCTTCTATTCTATATTCTATTCTTATTTTCATTCCGAATAAAGCATTTTTTTTTCGTGTAGTAATTCTCTTGAAACATTCGATTTTGAAGATGTATCTTTAATAAATTTTGAAAAATATCTATACATTCCCAAAAACCTTCTTACTCAGGTTTTATTTGTCGGTGCAATATAGTTTATGATAGCTTCTATATTTGAATTATCTGGTCCTATTTTATTTTTTATTTTTAGTTATACATACTCCCAAGTACTTGAGTTCTTCCAAACCGATTTCGTATTTTGCAAAATATGTGAGTCCATATTTTTTTTAAATTGTCATAACTTTCTGTAAACTTTTATTATGTTCAGAAATGGTACGTCCTTTATTAACCAAAATATTATCCGCATGAACAAGCACATCGTTCAAGGTTCAATTCTTCTTGCATAAATATATTATTCTTCAAAGTTTTCTGAAAAGTTTCTGGACTACTGGAAATGCCGAAAGGTAATCTTTTATTAACAAATCTGCCAGTTTCAGGTCTTGAACATGCCAAATTCCTTTAGAGTTGCCCTGTTCATCTTGAAGCTCATAAGACCAAGAATCTTGTTTGCGCTTAATCACAAACGGTCCAACTTAAGCTGGGGCCAATTTAGAAGTAAGATAATTCGCGACGCTAGATAAAATTTTGCTTTTCCGCCAAACCCTGTCGCCCTGGGCCTGTTTTCTCGTAACCAGGGAACAGCGTGTTCTTGAGAGAATGATTGCTCTGTCTTTGTCACTATTATGGAAATAACAATATGGGTGACTAATACAGAAAAATCGTTCTCTTGAGAGAACACTGTTCCGCGGTGACGAGAATACGGGCCCTGATCGAATTTAACAGGGCGTCTGACGTAGCTAGTCACTCGAAATAATTTCTGTATTAAAAAAAGTCTGCTGTTAGCGAGGATCGAACCTGTGACCGTCAAGTGCGCTAACCTATAAACCATCTTGTACATGTTGATGTCTGAGGTTAAATTTAGCTCGTTCATGAATTATATTATTATTTATTTTAAAATGTTGATCAAACATTTCTTTGATTTTTTCGGTATATTTCTAAAACACTCTCTGGTTTGTCCAATTGAGTAAAGGTGCAACACCGGTTCTAGGCCAAAATCAGTCATTTTTACATGTAAATCTCCATAAGAAAATCTAAGGTCCATTCTGCGCCTTTTTGTACCATTTTGGAGTGGGGGTAAATTTCCAGGAATAAGCCCCGCCCTCTTTCCAGTGCCCGTGTCTTTCATCGATAGCTGGTTAGTCGCTGCTGCTTCAGGGTCATTGACCGTACCTGGCTCCGAGCGGCTAATCGAACACACAGAGCACCTCGTGACTTGGTTCCTCATTCAAGGTTCCTCGTACTGATGTCGTTTCGCCATCCTGTCCAGTCACTCGAAATAATTTCTGTATTAAAAAAAAAGTCTGCTGTTTCCGAGGATCGAACCGCGGACCTTCAAGTGCGCAAACCTATAAGCCATCTTGTACTTGAAAAAATTCCGGCTAAAATCTTTCACTATCCGCAACCGCAATTCTTGGGAAAATCTATATCTATAAAATGAACTTTTAAGACCTACTACTGCTTATAGTGAAAACGCAAATATAATATCGATATAGCATATATTGCAACCACAGCGAAACCATAACTTGTTACTTTCCTGCGCTAAACAAGCTCTGACTAGTCTGGAGTCATCCACCTGCACACTCCAACGCACTTTTCCTAGAAATATGGGTCATCATCGTTTCAATTTTATTGTTGTTTGTTACGTTGGTATCCTGCGATAAGCAAGTTTCAACAGGAAATATGGTTAGTGACATCATATAAAGAACAGGCTTTAGCTCGTATTCAGATCAAAATCGCCGTTAATTCGAGTGATCAGTAAACTTTTGGAGTGCGCCTATTTTTAATTTCTGTATCAGTGTTGGAATTAACTAGGTATATTATATTCCAACAGTCTATCGACTTCAGGTCCCAAGTGCAATAATAGATTTGTAATCTGCAATTTTTGTGAAGCTGTATTCAAGTCTGTATTTTTCATAGTATGTTATCCACTTTATCTTTATCAAAGCTAAACTTCCATATTGTGGGTATTTGGCTAACAGTACTCGTTACCATTTTTTGAATAGGTTATGGTGTTGATTCTGACATCCCTAAATTTCTAGTACAAAAGTTCTTCCAACTGTTGTTGTAATTCTTTAGGGTTTACTTCTGCCATGCGTGAGCTGGTGGCACCTTAAATTAGAACGCCACTGGTCACTTGACGTCACACCTGTTTTTACCATGTACTCCACCCCCTCGCTCCTCATACGGATATCAGATAAAAATCGATGTAAAATACAAGTGATTCAGCGATAATCTTTTTACTGCAACCGCACATTGAGCAGACCGAAATTTACGCCAAGACGTCAAGCATTCGACACACTTCATATCATTAGATTGAGAATCTGGTTCTTGAATTGGATGCTATGCTAGTTAGCTGAGTAAGCTCCATGTGAATCTTCAAAACTCCTTTCGTTTAAATTTTGCTTTCCAAGTGTTACATTCAAAAGGATGAATTGTGTATGTATTCAGTTCTGTACCTTTCATAGTATGTTATTCACTTTGGCCAATCATCTTTATTAAAGCTTAACTTCTATATTGTGGGTATTTGGCTAACAGTATTTGTTACCATTTTTTGAATACGTTATGGTGTTGATTCTGACATCCCTAAATTTGTAGTACAGCTACTATTTTTCTAAGTTCTTCCAACTGTTGTTGTAATTCTTTAGGATTTACTTCTGCCATGCGTGAGCTGGTGGCACCCTAAATTAGAACACCGATGGTCACCTGACGTCACACCTGTTTTTACCATGTACTTCACCCCCTCGCTCCTCATACCGATATCAGATAAAAATCGATGAAAAACACAAGTGATTCAGCGATAATCTTTCTACTGCAACCGCACATTGAGCAGACCGAAATTTACGCCAAGACGTCAAGCATTCGACCCACTTCATATCATTAGATTAAGAATTTGGTTCTTGAATTGGATGCTATGCTAGTTAGCTGAGTTAGCTCCATGTGAATCTTCAAAACTCTATTCGTTTAAATTTTGCTTTACAAGTGTTACATTCAAAAGGATGAATTGTGTATGTATGAATATCACTGTTCTATTTTATTTAAAATTTACACTGTTTCTTCGGTAGTTGGGATTAGAAGATTTGTTATATTCTGGCAATAATCTCTCCTGCGACAGAAAGTAAAGACATTTCTCTGTAGTTAACACATTAAGCTTTGTCTCTCTTTTCAAAAATGGCAACTTTAATGGAAGCATATTTAAGTTCGGCAGTCATCCATATTCTATTGTTCGTCGATTTTAATCTGATACTCGGACGGAATGTAAGCTGGTGGCTCCCTACATTTAGAATGCCAATGGTTACCTGACGTCACACCTGTTTTTGCCATATGAAACACCCCCTCGCTCCTCATACCGCAAGTATCAGTTAAAAATCGACGAACAATACTTATGTGGAACCTTCTTGTTCAAAAAATTCCGCAGGAATGACGACAGTTCCAGCTGACTTATTGTTCTTCAGTTGCCTGCTTACTGGTATTACCTTTTTTTTTCCGAGATATCACGTTTGCAATTTCCAATTTGCTTCCACGACTAAATCAAATATTTCCTTTTATTTAACCAACTACATTAACCTTATAGTGTAGAAAGTGCTAAAACGACAAACACAACTAATACTGCAAAGAAAACAATACAATTCAGAAAACAACCACTTGTTATATACACTTTCATGTAACACGACTCTAGTTCCTGCAGTATACACTCAGACTTTTGGTTTTATAGTACAGACGTGGCACACATTTCGCTTATCTCCCTCAACAGTGGCGGATTTCCTCGGGCCATAAACCTCTTGCGGGGTCACATTCGAAATCCATATACATAAATAAAGGTGTCTGCGAGAGAACCAAACAGGATTCGATAGCTTCAAGTCCCATTTCCGTTTCCGTCTTTTGCACTTCCGCCACCGGGAGCTCTTTGCCGTCTTATATACAATATATTTTCCGTACGTTAAATAGGGTTCGGATGTGTTTGTTTTTTGTGTTTTTAGCGAGACATTATTACAAACTTTCACTATAGGGACTTTTTGATGTAAACAAGCCATAAAACTCTGCAAACGCTGTTCTGCTAAAAAAAAAAAGCTTAATTTTAAATTGAATACTACACCTGAAATTGAAATAATGGAGAAGACAAATATTATATTAAATGTTAGTGCCTTGGAGTAACAACGTCACTTACAAAGTCAAGTTCTTGAAATGCATTGCATTTTAATGCCTAGAACACTTAGGACTGGCAACATTCAACAAAATCCTTTCCGAAATATAGTTACAATTGTGTTCCCAATGCTATGGCAGTTTAACCTCGGCAAAGTGCATCTAATAGCTGCGCTGGCGACATATCTTGCGCCTTATCTGGCTGAACAACGACGTGTAGTGCGGATTTCCTTATCCATAAACCTATTTCAGTGGCGCTATATTCGAAATCCATATACACGTGCATATAAAGGTGTTTGCTGGATGGAACCAAACGGGATCTGATAGCTAAGAGCGTCATTCCTGTTTCCGTTAGCGGCGTTAGCTCAGTATGGCTTCTATTGTCATTAAACTTATGTAAATTTGCAATAGTTGTGAATTTCTAGCCTTCTTAGCAGAATATTTCAGCATATTGATAAAAATTAAATTATCTCTGGAGGTAAAGTGTTGTTTGGTCAAAGCTAAAGTTATATTATAAATCCCTATGTTATTATTATATACATAATTCTCCTTTTCAATGTTAAATATAAGCGTACGCCTCTGTAAAAACTCACAATATTATTAAGATGCTGAGTAAGCGGTACTGCACTGGAAAAGTACCATCATATCAAGGTTTCGCCCATATGATTGCAGCGTCAGCGATATTTTATTATAAATATGCCGCCCACAGCCTTTTCTGCTCATTCTATTATTTTTACCTTAGACTACAGTAATTAGAATCAAGATTGTTCTGTTATCGGCATTTCGTCGCAACAATTGAAGTCTAGTCGTCCTTTTCGTTTAAATTTTACTTCGCAAGTGTCACATTTAAAAGGTCAGATTATTAGGTTAGATAGATTTAGGAAATTTGCGCAATACAATCTACAAGTGATTCAGCGATAATATTTCTACTGCAACCACACATTAGACAGACCGACATTTACGTCAAGACGTCAAGCGTTCGGCCAACTTCATATTATTAGATCGAGAATCTGGTTCTTGAATTGGAGGCCAGTTAGCTAAGTTAGCTCCATGAGAATCTCCAAAACTCTTTTTCCTTTAAATTTTGCTTTACAAGTGTCACATTCAGAAGGATGAATATACGAGTGTGTCATAATTGTCTACATAATTCTCCTTTTTAATTTTAAATATAAGCGTGCGCCTCTGTAAAAACTCACAATATTATTAAGATGCTGAGTAAGCGGTACTGCACTGGAAAAGTACCATCATATCAAGGTTTCGCCCACATGATTGCAGCGTAAGCGATATTTTATTATAAATATGGCGCGCAGAGCCTTCTCTGCTCATTCTATTATTATAAGCTTAGACTACAGTAATTAGAATCAAGATTCTTTTATTATCGGCTTTTTGCCGCAGCAATTAGAGTTGTAACTTCTCAGTTTTTAATAAAATAAAAATTTAATTTTTTTACAACAAGATTTACTAAACGAAAAATATAATTCTAACGAGAAAATCGATTAAATACAAAACCCAATCAAGCTCGAAGTAAAACATAAACTAGCAAAATATGACGATAAACTTGCCCTCTAATCTTGCTTATTCTGTTTCTCTGTTTAGTAGACACAAATTGTGTTTGTTTTGGACCGATTTTACCATAGCTCGCTGTTCAAACAGACTGTGCACACAGGATGCAGCTTATGCCACAGGAAACAGAGGGCAATCTTGAAATGACCATGTTTACTTTGCTTTAGCCCAACGATTTCAGTCATTATACTCCAAGAATTAGTATTAATTATTTCATATAATTTTATAATACTGAGATCGAAACCAGAACTAATTACTTTCCATTATCCAATTTATCCAGGCCAAACAATATATCTATCTCAAATCCCAACTTGCCTCTGCCTGTACTATAAATCACCTCGCAATTTCCAACTAACTTAAAGCAATTATCATTGTTTCAGGTTTTCGACTACACCCAGTATTATCTGGACCTGTCGACTGCAAATAGCAACGGTAAAGCAGATTGGGTGGTCGAGTATAACTTTAGCACTTACTATGGAATTAACGACATAACTCCGTTGAATTTGCATACCCTGGCAGACAAGTTTACGCAAGAGACCGCCGCCGACAATGGCGTTTTTAATAAGTAAGTATATTCAAATAAATTAGGAAGAAAATTGTTTAATATTGAAACACAATGCTGTTATGAAATTAAAGCTAAAATTCACCTCGAACGAATTATTTAATGGCACTTATGTGTCATTGTTTTCCATTACTATTGTGTGTGATTTTTGCTATTGTTTTCATGATATATAATGCAAATTTGGTTATTTTTTTCTGTCCAATTCAATATTACCATTTTAATTGACTTGAATTATTGATCTGTATAAAAACAACTCGAAATAGTAGCCACCCCCAAGCTGTAATTCCAAAACGAGTAGGTAGAATGTTATTATTTCATTCGTGTTTTTTTTTTTTTTTTGGTTGAAAATATTTCAGTTCAGTAAAACGTACATGTGCCAACGCAGCGCTTCAGCATTTCAACTTAAAAATAGCTGATTGGCAATATACGTGAGTGCTACTTTTTGAGATTATTTTTATAGTTAAGTGGACGATCGAGAGGGGCATTTTTTTTTCTATTACGAACTGGACGTTTCAATAAATAATAACTTATTGTATTAATCAATGTTTTATATGGTGTATCAATTGCGGTGAGTATTATTAAAAGCTATGAGGCAAGGGACGAAGTATTTCCATCGTGTCTTGCTACAAGACAAGTGGAAGTCAGGTTCAAATAAGGCAGTAATGTCTGGGAAGAAGATGTTCTGAATAAAATTACATAAATCCTTCACATAGTTGCTCGTTTCGCTGATGATTAGGTCAGATAGATTGAGGGAATCTGCGCAATACAATCTAAAGTCCGTCGGTTTTAATCCGATACTCAAAATGAACGTGAGCTGGTGGCACCTTAAATTAGAACGCCAATGTTTCTGCCATGTACTTCACCCTCTCTCTCTTCATACGGATATCAGATAAAAATCGATGAAAAATACAAGTGTTTCAGCGATAATATTACTACTGCAACCGCACATTGGGCAAACCGAAATTTACGTCGAGACGTCAAGCATTCGGCCCACTTCATATTTTTAGATCGAGAATCTGGTTCTTGAATTGGATGCTATGCTAGCTAGCTGAGTTAGCTCCATGTGAATCTTCAAAACGCCTTTTTGTTCAAATTTTGCTTTGCAAGTGTCACATTCGAAAGGATGAATATACGAAGGTAACTTCGGAATGGTGGAAAGTGTCGACACTTTTTACACTATTGATACTTTGACGTTCGTTAAATGGTTTGAGTAAGTTTGTGTGTGTACACTTTATTTGCGTTTGGAAATAACTTGGTGCCCGGATGGTGTGAAGATGGTGAGACACCGTTTACTCGGTACAATATATGATGTATTCGGTGTTACACCGCCGATTACACCTTCATCACGTGATATAACAGTGCACTACACGAACACCGCACTAGCACTGCACCAAAATCTCATGCCGAACTCAGCTTGGGTATGTCAACATGTGATCCTTCCAAACTCCTTTTCGTTTAAATTTTGCTTTGCAAGTGTCACATTCAAAAGGCCAGATTATTAGGTCAGATAGATTTAGGGAATCTGCGTAATACAATCTACAAGTGATTCAGCGATAATATTTCTACTGCAACCGCACATTGGTCAGACCGAAATTTACGTCAAGACGTCAAGCATTCGGCCCACTTCATATTATTAGATCGAGAATCTGGTTCTTGAATTGGATGCTATGCCAGTTAGCTTAGTTAGCTCCATGTGAATCTTCAAAACGCCTTATTGTTCAAATTTTGCTTTGCAAGTGTCACATTCAAAAGGATGAATATACGAAGGTAACTTCGGAATGGTGGAAAGTGTCGACACTTTTTACACTAATGACACTTTGGCGTTCGTTGAATGGTAGGAGTAAGTTTGGTGTACACTTTATTTACGTTTGGAAATAACTTGGTACCCGGATGGTGTGAAGATGGTGGGGCACTATTTACTCGGTACAAAGTGATGGTGTAGTCGGTGTTACACCGCCGATTACACCTTCATCACGTGATATAACAGTGCACTACACGAACACCGCACTAGCAATGCACTGAAATCCCATTCCAAATGTCACATTCAAAAGTTCAGATTATTAGGTTAGATAGATTTAGGGAATCTGCGTAATACAATCTACAAGTGATTCAGCGATAATATTTCCACTGCAACCGCACATTGGGCAAACCGAAATTTACGTCAAGACGTCAAGCATTCGGCCCACTTCATATTATTAGATCGAGAATCTGGTTCTTAAATTGGATGCCATGCTAGTTAGCTGAGCCCCATGTGAATCTTCAAAACGCCTTTTTGTTCAAATTTCGCCTTGCAAGTGTCACATTCAAAAGGATGAATATACGAAGGTGACTTCGGAATGGTGGAAAGTGTCGACACTTTTTACACTATTGATACTTTGGCGTTCGTTAAATGCATTGAGGGTTAAATGGTAGGAGTAAGTTTGTGTGTGTACACTTTATTTGCGTTTGGAAATAACTTGGTGCCCGGATGGTGTGAAGATGGTGGGACACCGTTTACTCGGTACAAAGTGATGGTGTATTCGGTGTTACACCGCCGATTACACCTTCATCACGTGATATAACAGTGCACTACACGAACACCGCACTAGCAATGCACTGAAATCCCATTCCAAATGTCACATTCAAAAGTTCAGATTATTAGGTTAGATAGATTTAGGGAATCTGCGTAATAAAATCTACAAGTGATTCAGCGATAATATTTCCACTGCAACCGCACATTGGGCAAACCGAAATTTACGTCAAGACGTGAAGCATTCGGCCCACTTCATATTATTAGATCGAGAATCTGGTTCTTAAATTGGATGCCATGCTAGTTAGCTGAGCTCCATGTGAATCTTCAAAACGCCTTTTTGTTCAAATTTCGCCTTGCAAGTGTCACATTCAAAAGGATGAATATACGAAGGTGACTTCGGAATGGTGGAAAGTGTCGACACTTTTTACACTATTGATACTTTGGCGTTCGTTAAATGCATTGAGGGTTAAATGGTAGGAGTAAGTTTGTGTGTGTACACTTTATTTGCGTTTGGAAATAACTTGGTGCCCGGATGGTGTGAAGATGGTGGGACACCGTTTACTCGGTACAATATGATGGTGTATTTGGTGTTACACTGCCGATTACACCTTCATCACGTGATATAACAGTGCACTACACGAACACCGCACTAGCACTGCACTAAAATCCCATTCCGAACTCAGCTCGGGTATCTCAATATGTGATCCTTCAAAACTCTTTTTCGTTTAAATTTTACTTTGCAAGTGTCACATTCAAAAGGTCAGATTATTAGGTCAGATAGATTTAGGAAATCTGCGTAATACAATCTACAAGTGATTCAGCGATAATATTTCTACTGCAACCGCACATTGGTCAGACCGAAATTTACGTCAAGACGTCAAGCATTCGGCCCACTTCATATTATTGGATCGAGAATCTGGTTCTTGAATTGGATGCTATGCCAGTTAGCTTAGTTAGCTCCATGTGAATCTTCAAAACGCCTTTTTGTTCAAATTTTGCTTTGCAAGTATCACATTTAAAAGGATGAATATACGAGTGTGTCAATAAAGTCTGTTTTTTTTTCAAAGATAATTCCCCAAGTCAAAAATTTAGTAACTATGTTGGCAACACAAGCCTTTTCTACATAAAAAATTTGAAAGCATTGACAATTTTACATTGTATTGCCAACATAACGTCATTTTGACTTTTATCTTAAAAAAAAACGACTTTAAGCGATTCTTCAAAACTCCTTGTCATTTAAATTTTACTTTGCAAATGTCAGATTCAAAAGAATGAAATATCTGAATGTGTTGATCACGCCTATGATGTATCATTTTCTCTTATTTTAACAGCAGCGTTAAGTTATCTGTCACTGTTTATTCTACACGTAAAAATAGAGACAAGTATAGGCGAGGGTATAGGTTTCGAGCTATAACACAACTGTTAAAATAACAGGAGAGGATACATCATAGGCCTGATTGTGACTTCAAATACACACCACTGTAAAATTTCCTGACAAAAGATGTCTGACAAGATGCAAAATGCCGAAGATACCCGAACAATCAGTGGCGTCTTTGATGGATTTTTTATTACACATGCATGTATTGCATGTATGCGAAATTCAATATTATTTGGTTTTAAACTGGGTACCATCGTCACCAAAAGTATCTGGGACAAATCTGAGAATCTGCGCAATACAATCCACAAGTGATTCAGCGATAATATTTCTACTGCAACCGCACATTGTCAAGACGTCAAGCATTCGGCCCACTTCATATTATTAAATCAAGAATCTGGTTCTTGAATTGGATTTGGAAATTCATCGAAACACGTTTTTGTTCAAATTTTGCTTCGTAAGTGTAACATTCAAAAGGATGAATATACGAGTGTGTCAATATGTGATCCTTCAAAACTCCTTTTCGTTTAAATTTTGCTTTACAAGTGTCACATTCAAAAGGATGAATATCTGAATGCGTTGATCAGGCCTATGATGTATCATTTTCTGTTATTTCAACAGCAACGTTAAGTTATCTGTCACTGTTTATTTTACACGTAAAAATAGAGACAAGTATAGGCGAGGTATAACACAACTGTTAAAACAACAGAAGAGGATACATCATAGGCCTGATTGTGTAAACAAGGGTATATAGGTTTCGAGCTATAGCACAACTGTGGAAATATATAAGTATATAAATTTACTTAAAAAATCTTTTATTAGATAATGGATTTCCACCAAGTAAAAGCCGATTCAATAAAAATATAACACAACAGTTAAAATAACAGGAGAGGATACTGATTGTGACTTCAAATATTTACCACTGTGAAATTTCCTGACAAAAGATGTCTGACAAAATGCAAAATGCCGAAGATACCCGAACAATCAGTGGCGTCGGTGATGGATTTTTTATTACACACCCATGTATTGCATGTATGCAAAATTCAATATTATTTAGTTTTAAATTGTCACCAAAAGTATCTGGGACAAATCTGAGAATCTGCGCAATACAATCTACAAGTGATCAAGTGATTCAGTGATAATATTTCTACTGCAACCAGACATTGTCAAGACGTCAAGCATTCGGCCCGCTTCATGTTATTAAATCAAGTATCTGGTTCTTGAATTGGATGCTATGCCAGTTAGTTGAGTTAGCTCCATGTAAATCTTCAAAACGCCTTTTTGTACAAATTTTGCTTTGCAAGTGTTACATTCAAAAAGATGAATATACGAGTGTATCAATAAGTGATTCTTCAAAACTCCTTTTCGTTTAAATTTTACTTTGCAAGTGTCACATTCAAAAGGATGAATATCTAAATGTGTTATTATGTGACTTCAAATACCACTGTGAAGTTTCCTGACAAAAGTTATTTGAAAAATCTCGATGATACCCGAACGATCAGTGTTGTCGGTAATGGATTTTTTATTACACGTGGATTTATTATTATTGAATATTATTTGGAGTCAGATGACAATTGCTGGAAAAATTATTCAAAAACTAGGGTTTCACGATGTTCAAGAAATTTCTTGTGCTTAATTTGAATTCAAGAAAATTTCAATTCAAGAAATCCGAAACTGTTTTCAATAGTAATATAACTAGTGTAATGGAAATTATTGATAATTTTTGGGAAATTTGCCCGAATGCATTTTCAGTTAAAAACGCATGAGTGCAAATTTGTCGAAAATTATAAATATATTTCCATTGCACGAGTTGTATTTAATGAGAGAATTTCATAAATCAAAAATTTAAATTTTTTGTCAGAAAATGTCAAAACACCAGTTTTCGCACCAGTTACTATGCAATTATCTGATAATTTGCACTAGTGCAAATTATCGCGTAATTGAAATCTAATTGGTTAAAATCAACAATCAAAACCTGTCAATTTATTGTTGGAATACCAGTTTTGACAGATGTATGAAATTCTGATTATTATATGACAATTACTGGAAAAATTATTCAAAAATTGTGCATAGGATTGAATTCATAGTAACATGGGAAGGTTGTTGAGGGGGTAGTCAGAAACAAGAAAATACCAGTAGCGTACATTCGATCGATTTACGAATGGTGATGTATTGAAAATATACAAAATCTTGCTTCCCCATTACCCGCAAGTTTCCTTAACGCAAATTGTATGATTATTTAAAACTGTACTTAGGATTAAATTCATACTAACAGGGAAGGTTGAGGGGGTTGTTAGAAACAGGATGATACCAGTGGCGTACACTCGATCGACCTATGAATGTAGATCTATACGAAAATATTTATTAAGTGTACGGCTCTGGATTATGTATTGCATTTTTTTTTAAAAAATTTCAAACGTACCTTGTTTACAACCAAATAATATTTATTAATAATAAATGCATGTGTAATAAAAAATCAATTACCGGCGCCACTGATCGTACGGGTATCTTCGGTATTTTGTCGGATAACTTTTGTCAGGAAACTTCACAGTGGTATTTGAAGTCACATAATAACACATTTAGATATTCATCCTTTAGAATGTGACACTTGCAAAGCAAAATTTAAACGAAAAGAAGGTTTGAAGGATCACATATTGACACACTCGTATATTCATCCTTTTGAATGTGGCACTTACAAAGTAAAAGGGATATCGCTGAAGCAATTGAGCTATCGTTTTCCGGGTTTCACCATGAGATTATCGATAAATACATTCAAAATAGGAAAATATTAGTGTATACCAATTCTACTCTTGTTCCAGATACTACAGAGCCAATTCGGTCCGTATCCACACTAAAGCGACTACAAACTGTGACGACACTTGTGCGCACACGCATTACTGTGCCATCACTAGAGTGGACTACGACGAACATGAGCAGTGTTTGAAAATTGCCGTTGGTGCGCTGTCATCGTCTTCGTCTTTAGTGTTTTTGGGCGTCAAGTTGAAACTAACCTCTGTATGCTTCATTGGACTCGTTATTTGTAAAATGTTTTGGTAATTTTCAGTGTAATGGGCTAAAAAAATTGTGTACATGTGCTATTAAATGTTAAATTTATTTTCATGTAAATAGAATTGTATAAATTAGGAAATAATCTGTATGACGTTTAAAGAAACAATATTGTAAATATTTTTTGAGCGGATTGATGTTTTGCAAATTTTGTAAAAAAACTTGTCTTTTATGTAAAGCCTATTTGGTTTCTTTGAAGTCTTGGGATTATTTCCGAAAATGGTGTAAATTTTGATATGGCTGTGGTTTTTTACATGTACCTACCTTGTATATAACGAAATACTTACTACCAAAATTATATTAAATGTAATAAGTGTAGGCTTTAATTGTATGTAAAAAAAAATATATAGAAAATTTATAAATAATATGCTATGTAAAAAAAAATGACAAGGATTTGTTTTTTTGTTTGTTGTTGTGACAAGTTTTTATAAATTTTTTGTTTGCAAAACTATTAATATATTTAGAGATATTAGATTATTTTTCAAATCGAAAACTTAAAAGAATTTTTACTAATCTGTGATAATTTTCTTATTATAAAATGTAAACTGGTCCAACAATGTTTTGTTTAAGGTCTGGTCTATTCATTCTCAGATAAACTTGCTGGTAGATTGCACACCTGAGAGTTTATCAGAAAGTGAATAAACCGGCCCTAAAAAAAAAAACACATACACACACATTAATTCCCTTTTATAATTTAGGCTTCTAAATTGCAATATTTTGTTTTTTGTCCGCCCAATAGAACGCGTGTAAAAAATACCATAAACTACGATTATTATTGTTAAAAAGCAGAATTTCCGCATTATATAAATATTAATATAATAAATTAATAATTGTCATTTTTTTGTTGCGTTTCATTTGCCCCCATAATATAAGCCTAAACGAACCATACTATAATAAGGTAAAATTAATCAGGAATGTAATTAAATTTAGCAGTAATAATATGGGAGTTTTTTGCACCATTTCAGGATGCTAAATACACACAAACGTTTAGTTGATGTTAATTAAACCGAAAATCTTGTTTAAATTTTGTTAGTTATTAACATTTTCATTTATGAGAATTTTGATTGAGATACATGGGAAAGAATAATACATAGTTGGTCAGAAATTAATAATACTAAATATGTTTGAATCAAAATGAGTCAAATTAATTTTTCAGATAAAAACGAGTTGATGATGAAAATTTGTATGGCTGTGTCGTTGAGTTCTCCGGAGTAAGTATGTTATTTATCATGCAACAAGTGTGAACTTTACCCTTTGAATTCAATAAAACAACCATAAGATAACGCAAAACAATATATTATTATATAATTATGAATTTTAGCTACAGTACCATGCGCGACATGGCCTCTCTGTGTCTCAATTATATTTTTCGTTCAGTGAATCTTGTTTTTAAAAACTATTTATTTTATTAAAAACTAAGAAGTTACAACAAAAAATACTAGATTCTAAAAAAAAGAATGTTTGATTCTAATTGCTATAGTTCAAGCTAGAATACAAGAGAATATGGAGAGAACTCTGCGTGCCGTATTTATAATAAAAGACTGCTGACGCTTACAATCGTGTGGGGGAAACCTTGATATGACAGTACTTTTCGAGGCAGTAACGCTTACTCAGCATCTTTATAATATCGTAAGCTTTTACAGTGGCGTGTGCCTATGCTTAACATTAAAAAAAGGAATTATTAATATAATAATAACATAGGGTTTTATAATAGAACTTCTTCCCCCACCAGTCCGCATCGCGTCACCTTCCTTTCCTTAACACTGACGTGGAGCACAGTGGCGGAACTGACCAGTGACAGCGTGTTTTCATACAAGTTTGAATGCCTAGGTTATATATTCGAGAAATAACAAGCAATATGAGTTACTTCAGTTATAGAGCTTTGGAAAAATATAGTCCTAAAAAAGAAAATGTTCTCAGGGTAAAAAATTCTTAGAAGTTGATATGGAATGTCAACAAAATACAAATTGAAGTAAACATCTTATCTTTGTATTATATATTTTATTTTAAACAATACAAGACGTTTACCTTTAAATTGCTTGCATCCAATTTTGTTCAAATATTGGAGGAAGCCCATTGAAAAATCGACCGCTTATACATTCCTCGAATAAAACCAAATGATTTTCATCCCGAATTTCCGATCCATTTGAGTTTTAGGAGCTTCTTGAACTGGTATACATACAGGCATATATAGTGTCGTAACCTCTAATAGAAATTTTTATTTTTTGAAATTGTAAAGCAATTTCTTGCTGGTGGGGTATTTAGATTGGAAGCTACTTTCGAAATTAGACGCTGACGCTCTTAAACTGATTTAAAACTAAAATCCAAGCTAAACAAATCACTCAAGTTGATTAACTAATTTCGTTTCGACTTTGGTACAATCCAGCTTGATAAAGTTTCGGAAAATTGAAGTCCGCTCTATTGTCTCTTAAAAAAAAACAGTAAAACTGTAAAGATTTAACTGAATTTATTATAATGGTGTCCGCCGGAAATATAAATCCACAATCATAAATTGTTTGAAATATTCATTAAACCAAAATAAGTTATTCTAAATCGTTTTAATTAAATTCGCTGCAGATTCAAAAATAATGCTCCAACTCACTTGGACGAGTTTAATTTATTGCCGGCTTTCTGAAAATTTGTTCCAATTTTGTTTTTCTGTATTGTGTTGTGTTTTCAATTTGAATTTAATGACTTCATTACTTGGCCGGCATCATAATATACATATAAATCGATATCCAAATGCGAATTGTCTCAATTTAAAATTTAGTCATATAAAAAAAGGCCTAAATTATGTATATCAAAATCCAGATACGCCTAGGTCAACGCACCGCCAGTGGGTCACTAGGAAACATAAGCAATATTACGATCCATACCAGATGCAACGTCATCAAAAGTTCAAATCTTTCGATCTGGAGCACACAACAGATTTTGTCAGCAATTTATTCTTTTCAATTAATTATCATTGTTCATGACGTTTGGCAAAGTTGCATTTTTTGTATATACCTAAATAGTTGGTAATTGTTTAATAAAAATCAGTATTAATTCAACAGTGGTTCTTACTCCCCAGTTACCAACCTTCCTGGGTGTATTAACTCAACCTACAAACCACAAACAACAAACTACCAAGTGTTCTTAGCATCCTCCTAAATTCCAATACTGGAATTTTACATTGGTCCTTCGAGCAAAAAGAAGATAAAGGATAAAGGTTAATAAACCAGCCCTTCACAACAGTCCTCCGTTTATGCCTATCCTTTAACCTACATGCATACACTCACGCCTTTCGGAGTTAACGTTTAGACACCGGTCTAAACACCCACACAAAAATACCTACATCCGTTCCTTGCTGTAGCAAGTGCCTTGTATGGTTACAGCATCCCGTTCCTAGTATATCAAGTGCCTTGTCTGGCTATACAGTCCTTCCTACATTCTATAAATAATCAAATATACACATACACTCGCGCCCTTCGGGGTTAACGTTTAGACATCGATCTAGAGCACCTACACATACATTCCTTCCCGCTGTAGTAAGTGCCTTGTCTGGTTGCAGCATTCCATCCTCAACAGAACAGAACAAAGAAATCGGTTCAGATTTTTGGAAACCTATCAAAAAATTCTGGAAACAAACAACAAGTTGTCAGCATGATAACATGTATTGAAAAAATGGACAACTAACTAAATTTTGGGAAATTGAAGAAATCTCACAATTACATCCATTTTCAGAAAATGATCAACATTGCGAACAATATTACGAAGCCACCACTACAAGAAATACAGATGGAATATACACAGTTAGAATTCCATTCAATGGAAAAGAGAGTCTATTAGGAGTGCCTACATCACAGCCGTCGCACGAGTGGTTCAGTTAGAGGAAAGAATGAACAGTAATAAAGAATTAGAAATCGCTCATTAGGAATTTATGCAAGAATATCTAAACCTTTGTCTAATGAAAATGCTTCCACAAACAGAACTACCACATCAACTGGTATTCAAAAAATCCAGCACTACAACAAAGTTAAGGGTGGTCTTTGATGCTTCCAGAATTGAGCCTCAACAAAACCATGTATGTAAATCCCAGATTATAGCCAGAACTGTCAGATATACTGCTACGCTGGAGATCACAGAAAGTAGTGTTCACAACTGACATTGAAAAAATGTACAGGCAGATTAAGATTCACGCTGATGACCTGAAGTATCAGAAAATCTTATGGAGAGGTCCAGCAACAAACGAGAGTTACTCAGAAACTTCCAAATAAACTCAAAAATCAATCAGCCGCGGAAATAACTGAAGATGACATAAGAGAGTCTCAAGGTATCCACTATGTGCTCCATATAATGACACATTTAGATTCAAAACTGAAATATTGACCAGTGATAACATTACTAAAAGGAGTATTCTTTAGTTACTCGACCCACTAGGATGGTTAGCTTCACTAATCATCACGGCGAAACTCCTAATCCAAGAATTATGACTGCAAGAGCTAAAATGGGATGATCCTGTGCCACTTTTCATTAAGAGCAAATGGAAAATTTTCCGAACAGAACTAAAGAGTATCGAGAAAATACTACATCCAGGTGGACCTACCAAGTAAAAAACAGTCACATGGAACTACATGGCTTTTTTGATGCCTCCGAAAAGGCGTGACCTAGTTGAAAGTCAAGAATTTCCTGGATGAAACAAAAATAGTTCTGCTAACAGCTAAATCCAAAGTAGCACCAGCAAGAATGAAAGTGACGTTGTCAAGACTAGAATTATGTTCTGCCGTGCTTCTGCACTAAAAAATACTGTTATACAACTACAAGATAGATGCTAAGATAGGTGTGAACTTCTTGCTTTTTGTCTGGGAGAACGTTAAGTACTCGGCTTTGAAAAAGAAAGGGTCCTCGGAAGAGCATTAATTTAATCATTCAATATTATTTCCATTATCAGGTTATTATCTGAGAAGTACAAATAAGTCTATTTGAAACTGAGTAAATGTTTCCAGTATAATAGGAAAGAAGAAGTTAAGCTAGGGGACCTCTATATTTTCTTATGAAGATTTATATGTAAAAATAACCGAAATTGTCGCAGAACTGGCCTAGCTTCTCTAGTAAAAGACAGGATTAATATCTTCATGTATTTTTTGAAGTTCACACCTTTTTCATGCAGTTTCCATCTGGTATTTATCTGAGAAGTACAACAAATTTGAAACAAACACAAATACGCTAGATTTTTTCAGTATAATAGGCAAGAAGTAGATGTCTGGACAGACTCTACAATAGAACTATCATGGATGAAAGGGGACCCGTCCAGGTGGAAAAATTTTGCAGCCAACCCAGTAGCAGAAATCAACAAACTTATTCCACATCAACATTGGCACCACGTGTGAACTGACGACAACCCAGCTGATAATATATCATCGTTTTATCTTTGTTTAGATAACCAGATAAAGAAGGATACAAATATTGCCAGAGCAAGCCCGAACTTAATCGCGAATCCGCGGTAGGATTCGTAGTAATCGTAGTAAGAAATGTCAATTGGGATTTGTTGTTAATTGGTCCGCATTGCCCGCAATCTTATCCCCACTCCATGTAGTTCATTCAATAATCCACTATTGACGATTAGGATTGTTGGCCGCAGAAACCAAGCGTTTTTATAAATGACTTGCCCTCTCTATTTATGTTGTGTTACTCTGAGCCCTAACACACCTAGTCAAGATTGATCAGATCCAACATTTTAAAGCAGAAATACAACAGCTGAAAAAAGGGTCATAGCTAGACAGTAATAGCAATCTTTACTCCATGGCTGGACAAGGGAGTTGTTAAACTCGTAAGAATTGGAGGAAGATTACAAAACTCAATGTTAAGTTACGATAGCAAACATGCAATTATCTTACCCTATGCGAGTCACCCAGGCTTGTTCCAATAAAATTTTTAAGTGTGCATTAAACCAATGGAAAATTGTGCATTTTTGTTTGAGATTGTGCACGGGCTTAAAAATGACGTAATTAATAGCGCCCTCTCTAGGGTTTTACAGAAACAGTGATGACAATGGAAGTAGGCCGCCATTATGTGGTTAACTTGACTCTCTTTTCCTGACCCCAGCAGTCCTAAATGTTTTGAAAATCTGTTTAAAAATTACGTCATTACTTTCATTCAAGAAAAAAATGAGGTTTTCAAACCAGATGAATTTAACCATTCATAACCTAGGATTCATGATGTTTTTTTTATGGTAATTAATTAATTACTAATATTTTCCAATGATCTATTTTTTATTTTTCGAAAATGTAAGTGTGTTCATGATACCATAACCTCCTGCATAAGACACAACACACGTATTAAACTATCCAAAACACGTGACTTTGACAAGCAAAATATGGCTGACAAGGGGCACACAAACATTGACACCACTTCATTACTTATTTTTTATTGTGTACGTCCCAATTTTTGCCAGTTTCTACCCAATTACGCAATCCTCATTGTTTGGGCAAGGTTGCTCTACCTGCATTTCACTTGGACACGCAGGATCTACCATTGATGTGAAAATATTTATTGCTTTGATTTGTATTGTTTTTTTTACTTGGAATTTGAAAAAACTTAAGAATGTCTCGATCTCCACGACTTCCACATTTAATAATACAACACGTTGTAGGCATGTTTTTCGCGTTTTTAAGAACTATTTACTACTATTTTACATACACTATTCAAATACACTATTTATAACATTAATAAAAACAACAGTTTTAAGTATCAGAACGCAAATAATTCACAATGAGCCCTATTTTGAGCTCATACATTATTTGATGACAAATTCGATGACACATAAACAAAGGGTTTGTGTGCCTCTTGGCGGACATTTTAATTCAAGTTTGACAGCATCTTGGATAGTCTAATAAACATAAAAAACAGTCTGCTTTCCTAAACTATTGCGCATGCGTCTGTTTTTGAGCCGATGTGTCTCAAAATATTTTCAAACAGTTTTGTTATGACGTCATTAGTTCAACGCGAAATAGGTTCAACGTTTAACCAATTTAAGCGGGAAAAACACCTTTGAGCTTAGCTTTCAAAATAAATAACAGATGTCAGTAACCACCAAGGATAATACATACTACTATTTATTGCTTATCGGCTTCATTTTTGGAAATTGCCGCCATATTGGTGTATCACCAT